TAAAAAAATACAGATATCTGTCTTGGTTTTTGTTGTTAAAATTTATCAAATTAACAAAAATAAGTCACTTATAGGGACACAACCATAGTTAAAATTTTGATTATATTTGTTAGTCAATCTTGTAATAAGCCATATATTTGAAAGTATCTATTATATAACTGTCTGTCTATCTTATAGACACACACATATATACCTGCATGCATACGCATTTATATGCATGCGGGTGTAGACGTGTATACATGGATCCATTAAAATCTAGGCTTACCAATGTCTTTGGAATAACGCACAAACATTCTTCTTATATGAAATCAAATCTTATGGGTTTTTGAGATAATTCACAAAAAATATTCCTCAGAATAAGGCAAAAAGCATTTTATCGTATTGCATTCTTTTCAGGAACCATTACGAGATACTGTGTTCTGATATCCCTCAAAGTTTATAAGACTTGTAAGCGCAGATGCTTGTTTTTCTTCCTAATAAAATTTTGGAGGAATGCGTAAAAGCAGATTAAACTATGTCAGACTCTTTAAAAGAAAACACTGTTCTTCTTTCAAGAAGGTTGTTATGTAGCAAAAGGGAAAAAAAATGAGCATTGCAAGCAGTTCTGAAAACACAACTGAGATGCAATTTGATAAATAGCCTTCCATCATCCAAGCCAGAGCGGTGGAAAAGCACGCTATCAGCACTTTCATCAAAGACACTATTGACTCCTCTTTTTCTATCTCATTTTATCATGACTTTCTCATTTTGTTTACTCAATCAATGATTGGGGGGAAAAAAAAGATTCCTTACCCCTTGGATGCGTTATAACGGAATCCACCACAGAAGGCTCCTTCTCTCCATCTCTGCTGCCTTCACTGCTGCCTTCGCTGCCGCCATCCCTGTCAATCAGTTTGTCCACCATGGCGATAATGCAGTTGAGGCTCTTCCCCACGTTGGCCCACACCCTATCCTGCAAAGAGCATAAGTATCACTACACATTCTTATTGCACAAACCAAATAAGGCGGAAGCTGATAAATCCATTTCAGAGAGGCAGGTAGAGGAACGATCATAAGAATTCAGAATGAGTGATGAGATTTATTACTCCCATAAATTTGGCCAGACTATGGCTCTACAAGAAATCTACTTTCTCTTAATAAAGCAAAATGTAAGTGTTAGAAATCTTTTTATTTAGTTCATTATTTTTCTCTGTCATACAGCAATGATGAATTACCATATATTATGAATCCATAATTGTGCTCAAAGTGTGAAATTTTAAACTGGATATATCCATTTTCCTTATCGACAGGACGAAAGCAAAGACACACCGATATCTTTAAAGACGGGCCACCACTTGCATTAGATATTCTTGTTTCTCTTTTTATTGGGATAACTTATATATATATATATATACCCTAAGGTTTGCCATTTTAACCATTTTTAAGTGTGCAGTTCAGTGACATTAAGTGCCTTCACACTGTGGTGTCACCGTCACCACCATCCATCTCCAGAACTCTTTCATCTTCCCCAACTGAAACTGGGTCCCATTTAAACCTGAACACCCCATTCTTCCTTCCCTCGGCCCCTGGCAGCCATCATTCTACCTTCTGTGTCTATGAATCTGACTACTCGAAGTAACAGAAGTTCTCTAAGCGTGGTCTCCAGTTAATGGGAATAAACTCTGCTATTGGGGGGGGGGATGGGAATGGGTTGATTGCTCCCAATTTTCCAGATTAGCTTTATATACAAGGTAAATTTTCAATGCTGTTACTCATGTTGAGAAAAACTTTGTATTTTGATTAGAAAAAAGCAGGATTGCATGTTGCCTTTCGTATGTAAAGGACTATAAAAGATGGATCAACTGATCTCGATCACATCTCTGAAGAGCCTGAACAGAAGGTTATTTACAGGATGATTTTACATTCTATACCTACATATTATTCTTATTGCTTTACAGATATCTCAAGTTATAGGATTCCGCTGATAGAAAAAGTAACCTTTGCAGCCAGTAGAGAGATCTTTATTGGCATGAGCAGAGCATGTTCTTGGATGAAGACCAAAAACCACAGAGTAAGGGGTTATGTGATAAACATCAAAATAACACTTACATCAGTAAATGCTTAGACGACACGGGCTGGGAGGGTGTTTGTTGGGGGTTAGAAACTGAGCAGTTTATTAGGCAATACGGATACACAATGCGTACATAATCAAATGTTTTACTGAAGGCACACTCAATAGCAGACCCTGAGCACACTCATTTTATTCTTTATCTTTTGGGGAGGCGATCCGGCCTAGCTCGTGGTGAGAATGCCGAGCTTTTCTGGTCATGCTTCCTTCTCTTTAATGGCGCCTACGAAGTTGATAAAAGTTATCAATTTGATTTGCACTTCTGTCTCTAATACTAGACTATGAGTTACTTGGGAGCCGTGTCCTCACTATATTGTGCAGGGGCTTGAAGAAAGGCAGAGAAAGGGGAGAGAGCAAAGGAGGGAGCAAAGGTGGCTCCAACCAGAGACAGATTAAGACTGCTTTTATATCACCTGGCATATGAACGCCAGCTTGATTAACCTCAAACGCCATCAAATACATTTAGTGTCCTGATTCAGTTTTAGAGATGAGGAGGCCTCTGGTAAGCGATGGTGAATAACGTTTGACATTTAAGTGTTACAACTGGACTAGAAGTTCCATTTGACGGCAAAGACTTGATTCTCCCCCTATGATTTCCCATGAAACCGTGGCACACATCAGGAATTCTTCTTTGGGTCAAAACCAGAATTCCAGGGATAAGCTAGACAGAGGAAGGTGAGAAGATGCCCAGGAGGGGTCAGGGAGAGGTGTGTGTCACCTCACAGGAGCAAGATGCGGTCTCACTTATCTAAGACTTGAGAATGAGCCCAATGGCAGACTCTGGATGAAGAGATGACACTACACAAAGGACAGGGTGGTCACATGTACCCTTACATCTGAAAGAAAGAGTGTCATATAATCAGGAATGGAGCAGTCACTTGGCTAAAGGGTCAAGGGACACTAGTGGCCAACATTAACAGAGGACAGTGTCAGTATCAAGGCCCCAAATCCATTCATGTGACCGGGATAAGACAGGGAGGAAAGATGATAATTCAATTCCTAGGAGACTGGGGTGCAAGATAATTATTTTGGAACTGGAATGCTAAAAAATCGGTGGGTAAGATTCTTGAAGAGGAGCCTCGAATATCAGATTTCTCTCCTAATACAGCCACTTTCTGTATTAGCTCTGTGAAAACATACACACAAAAGAAAATAACCATCAAAAACCATTTTGTTCTGATGATTATTACTCACTGAATTGGTTCACGGGGAAATTCTTTTTGCTTAGATTGCTTCTATAACTGGGGCCTACTCCACTTTCTCCCCAAACTGAAATCACACAATTTATTTTAGACTCTTGCCATCAAGAGGAAAGGCTGGTTAGCGGGGAGAAGACAATGGCAGCATAAGGATGTGGCAGCAGGACCTGGGGCTTCCACCCGCCTCTCCTTCCATGCCCACGAAACAGCCTCCAGGTCCTGTTCAGCTCCTCAGCCACAGGAGAGGTTTAGAAACAAAACGGCAAACAACCACCACCTATCAGAACAGCAGCTTGCTAGGCCTTTCCCCCTTAAAATAGCAGTCTTTATTCTACTATGTCTCCTGCTTTATGAAGGAAATAATGGAACATCGGTGGGTAAAAGTCTAGCCTTTATTAAATGGAGCCTAACTGGCATCCTTGACCTTCATGGAGCCTTCAGACAACCCAACTTCTTAGAAGTGAAGTAGCTATAAACTCTTAGCAATGAGGGGGAACTAGCAGCAATCTTTATTCCATTCTGAGTCAGGTGCTGATCTTGGTCCATATTCATTTCTGGGTTAGGACCTAAGCTAACATGCAGGTCAAGTTCAGTAGCAATAGATGCAAAAATCTGATGGATGTAGCAGTGAGTAGCCAAGAGGACATTATGCATGGCAGAGTGATCCGTGAGGGCAGGAGCCGTGGTGCTTACTCAGCATGCCACACACTTACGATCTCGGTGGCATTAAGAGAAATCCCGGCTGCTTTGGATCAGCAGTTAACTTAAATAAAAACACCAAAGTTCAGCCTTGCTTAGCTGATCAATTTTTCTAGGGCCAATTTTTGATCAGCAAGAACGTGAAGACTAAACCAGAGCTGATATGGGACCGGGGGTCGGAGTGTCCAAAGTAGCTCTGTCATATCTATAGCTCCATATACAATTCCCCATTTGTCATTGTCAACTTCTGAGGACTTTGATTACATCCCGCCACTGAATTAACAAGGCCAATCACCATCTTTAAAAAGAAGCTTCAGTTTGTCCTTGAGTTGACTGAGCACAATTTGCACTGTTCTGGCCTAGCTCAACACTGCAAACCTTGGTTCTTCCAATAGCTTTAGAGCTCTTCTCTCTAACCCTAACTTTACCCAGACTGTTAGATGAAAGGAGTTGTACTTAAAATACTCTGTGGCACAAACGGGCACATGTATGGCCCAAGCGACATAATACACACACACATGATGTCGACTAAAACTAGCCAGACTGTGACAGCCGTCAGAATGAAGTGAGGTTTCCGCAACCTTGGCTTCCTGTTGCCCTTCCTGTTTAACTTCACCTGTGGACTCCTGTGAACATCCTGACCCTCCTTTCCCAATAACCACACGGCTGGCCTTACCCTGAAATTCAGTCCCTGGATTCAGATAATCAGCCAGGGTTGCTCCAGAATTGACCTCTCTATATTCCCCTGGTTTGGCTCTTGCCCAGGCTGATATGTCAGCTATCACACACGCAGGTCTATACACAAGAGCCACGTTTATCTTCCTGGATCACCGTGCTCGCGTCTCAGTCCTCTGATCAAAAGCAGCCCAGTACTGCAGCAAGCATTCCTTTCTCTCGCAGCCCAGAGACACGTCTCTGGTTGGGTCATCCTAGATAATCCTCCTTATTTCTCATCAGTCTTCAAACTGAAAACGTCACCCAGGCCAGTCTCCTAATATTTGTATCTTGACACATGCTGCTCTTTAGGCTTAGAATGCCTCCTCCTTTGTCCTCCGTTAATCCAAAACCTCACCCTTTCAATTCTCACCATCTCCAAGAACCGTTCATGCTACTTCCCTCTGCTTAACACATTATTTCTTTCTAATCGTGGGCTCTATGAAGGGAATAACTATTACATATACTAATCCTTTTATTCTCAGGTCCTAGTACTCATTAGGTGATAAGTAGAGGAATAAATGAATGAATGAATGAGTGACTGAATGAATGAATGAATGAATACAAGAAGGAAGGGCTACTTTTTTCATCTTCTCTAACCTTCATATAACTTCTCTCTGAATCTTTTTGACATTTTTAATGACTATCACACAACCAGTTCCATTCTAGGAATCTCTCTCATTATCTCTGCTTGTTTTTTGAGCGCTGGCCATTTACTTGAATTAGATGATATGGCTGTTGAAGTCAGGATCCATATCATATCCTTAATTTGTTCTTCCCCAAGTACCTATGCATATTGCATTGCTGTGCCTCATGGACGTTTAATTAACATCTGTGGATGGACTGAACAACCTGTACCTTAGGAGCAAAAAGAAATTAAGATACAATGATTGCCACATGCTTCCTGGATTAAAGTTAGAACTAAGCTCATACTGTGAATGGCTGAGTTCACCCTTAATAAATGCCACGTCATGCTAAAGTGCTCAATTCGTGAAAATATTAAATAAAGCATTTGTCTAATAACAAGTAAAAAAATCCCACTGACTGACTAAGGCTCTCCATTTTGAATTGGTAATTAGATGTTATCTGGACACCATTAGATAGTTGCACAACTGGGTGAATTATATGACGTTATCAGCTAGTGTGCCGCATACAACCAATTTCAAGGATTGACACATATTTTTTAAACTGAATATACTCTGATATATCAATAATCTGCCTGTACATACTTTA